TGTTGTGCATTGTTCTGTATGTTGCGTTAAACTCAATAAAGAGTATTTATAAAAAATAAAAATAATTAACAAGATGTCAAAAACTCACATTGGGACACTTGAGCTCCCAGGGGATTCCTGCCATGACGTCCACAGCGTCCGCTCCACCCACTCCGATGCAGATGGAGCCGAGGCCACCGCCATTGGGAGTGTGGGAGTCTGTACCAATCAGCATCACTCCAGGGTACGCATAGTTCTCCAGGATGATCTGTCCAAGGAAAGGGACGAGACACGAGTCAGTCACACAGTTTTATCTTGGGATGAAATTCTCCACAGACTACTGTTTTTAAATTGACTTCTTTGGAATGTGCTTTTCTGGATGGACAAATACATCATTTTTCAATGTAAAAGACATTTAAAACGTTATAATAAATCAGTGTACTGCACCTGATGGATGATTCCTGATCCGGGTTTCCAGAAGCCGACTCCGTATTTGGCTCCGGCAGAGGCAAGGAAGTTGTACACCTCCTCGTTTACTTCCTGTGTTCAGAATTATTGGTGAGGAGTTATTTTTCATATAAGGTACATGAGTATCCTTGATGTTACCACACATAATAAACTTGGATGCTGCATTAAATCCTAAATCCTGCAATTTAACAGTTATTTGATCAAGCAGGCAGCTTAAATTGAATAAAAACTATTTTTTATGACAGCTTCGGGCAGAAAACGACAATGCTGACAGATGGACAAAGGGAATACACTGCTATTAAGACGACCAAATGTTACTTGACTAACATTATTTGGCTCAATTTAATTTAGAATAATGTGAGAACACAACCCAAGATAAATATATAATGTAGGTATATTCATTTTTTTGCTTTACAATCAAATCCATCTCAACACATTTTAAAATGTTCCATCAATTTCCTGAATTTGCAATTTTCAACCAATGACTGTACTTATTATTACGATTATGGCAATAATCATAATCTCGATTATTTGGGTCAATAATTGTAATTGCGATTATTAAATGCGATTATTCATTGACTTTGAAAACATCCATTGATTGGAGAAAAAAAAATTGAACAGTACGTTTTTAATAGTTGATTACCCTGAACTTTAAATATAATTCAACTGAAAAACCCCCAAAAAAAAAAAAGTAAAAAAAAAAAAAAAAAAGTAATAATAATAATAAATAAATTATCTTTTTATTTCGAGATGACGTTGTTTTCGTAATCGTTGTAAGCCATAATCGTAATCGCGATTAAAATACGATTAATTGAGCAACCCTACTGTACTATAAACTATACTGCAATATAATTTACTACAATATATACATATCATCTCCATCTATATGTCTCTTTCTGTCCTCACCTTGGCCCTCTGCAGGTCCTCCACCCCTCCGATCTGAGCCTCGATCAGATGATCGCAGTGGATGGTGGAGGGCACGGCCACCCTGGGCAGACCGCTGCTGATGAACTGCAGCATGGCCATCTGGGCCGTGGCGTCCTGCATGGCCACGCGGTCGGGGCGCAGGCGCAGGTAGGTGCTGCCGCGGCCGATATCCTGCCCCACCGGGTCGTCCAGGTGACCGTACACGATCTTCTCCGACAGAGTGAGAGGACGGCCGAGCCTGGAGGAAAGGATTAAGAGACGAGGAGTGTTTATAGCCTCAGAGACTACAAGTGTGATCAATATGGCTAGAAAAACAAAACCAAATAAAAGGTTTGTCGTTGATAGAAGCTGGAGAGGTTTTCACGTTTTGTTCGACTACATAGAAAAGGTCAGTCAAATATCCCCATGGTGAGTCTTAAGCTTCTATGGGCCTTAAAATGGCGGTTGCCAACAAGTGTCTAAATGAGACTACAAAACATCATCTCGCCAAACATTAGCCACCTTTAGCTTAACGGTGGTGACCATAATGTAGTTTGTTTATAGCCTAACGTTAGCTTTTTAGGGAGATCTTTACAATGCTAACTTCCAGGTAGGCAAACAAAAAAACGTACAGCATGTGGTGACCTCAGTAGGCGGGAACACCAAGACATCCAAAGTTAGCTCTGTGGGCCCTCACTAGTAAACACTCAATGTCACAAGATTAACCGTGCAGCTGCCATAAACACCTGCCATTCCTCATGAGCCAAACTGTACTCATCAAGCACTCTGTGTAGTAGGGCAACTTCTGACCTTTGGCGCACGATGTTGATGTTCTCGTGCATCTTCCCATAGTTCACGGTGCTGTTGGGCTCAAAGCGGCTCATGGCCACCTTGGCCTTGGCGTTGAAGGCCGAGCAGACATGAAAACGCCTCGCCCCGCTTCCGAGGACCAGCTAGAGCAGAGGAAACAAAGGACCGGTTTGAGAAATTGCCCCATAAACAAAGTTTTACTGTAAAGAATAACACATACATATTTGAGTTATAGACGCAATAAAGTGCGAAAGAATGGGACCACATGTGAGGATGGTTAAAACATAACCTTGCAAGAGCACCAATAGGAAATTCAATGTGTAGTGTGTAAAAACACAGACAAAGAATCCTCTATTTTGGTCACAAACGGCTCGGCCAGCTTGGTTAAACATTGACATTATGATAGAAAGACAACTCTGAATTTCCTGAGCAACTCATTACTGGAGGTGAACAAAGTATATTAAGTCGATTAGTTATTGGTCATTTGTTAATCTTTTCCAATTGTACTCCAGTGTACAAAAGTGCTATATTGTTAAAAAAACAAGAACCCTTTTTGACATATGGTTTTGCCACATAAATAAAAGACAGTCATTTAAAAAAAAAAATATTCTTGTACAAAGAGAAGTTCTAGCCACATTAAATTTTTTATTTTTGCTGATGATGAATTCATTTTAATGTCAGCATATGTTCGTGCTGGGAATTTTAAAAAAAGCTGTCAAAACAGGGTATGAATCTTTACTTTCTTACACAAAATCAGAATCTGTGGACACTGTAAAAAGCATTTTAATAACTTTATGTCCTTTAATTGTGCATTGCAAGCTTTATTATGGAGCAAAACACACTAGATATACTCCTGCATCAAGATTCTGGAAGAAATTAAGACACTGTGACTGAATAAAGTTTTTGGCTGTCATTTGCGACAGTGGGAAACTAGGCTATATCAAGCTGCTATATTACAGGACCATATTTAAATCTGTCTTGCCAATGAGTGACCTTAGTCTACACAAGAGGGATGCTATGCTCAGTGTTGATATTCAGGGGAAAGACACTGTGCTCAGAGGAAACTGGGTGAAAGTTCACACAGCTCATATTTCAGTGGTTAGCCTCCCGCTAGGCTAGTACTGACAGTCTGATACAGGACACTGTGGATGTGTGAACACTAGAGGCACAGGCAGAGTAAATCAGAGAAGCACTATTAACAACAACAAAGAAAATCAGTGGAAATCAATCAGGAGCAGTGGAGAAAATCCTCAGAGGGCCATTCCCCTAGCTCTGGAAAATTATGACTTTTTATATAATGTCCACTCAATGCAATGCTATGCTATCTAACTAAGGTACCATCTCATAAACGTAGACTACAGCAAGTAATGACAAATCTCAAACGTATACAACTCAAGCACACTACACTGACAGCCATGTTTTTCTTCAGTCTAAAATAAAGCTACATTTCTTTCTGTAATATAACAGGGTTTTTTTCATATTAACCCTGTATTTTCCCCTTGTTTATACCATAGGATGTTATCTGATACGAATAATGGATGAGGTCACATCTGATTGTTAATAGGTGGGATGACATTATTCTGGGAGCACATTATTTGGATGTACAGTCTGAAATTTAAATACAAATAATGAGACAATAAAATGATGAATCACCAAGCAAAGCAAGCCCTTACCTAGCAGACAAAACACTAAATATAGGTACATGCATTGTTTTATAGCAGTATTTCACTTCCTTATTTCTTTTATGTATTTAGTATGTTGCACTTTTAGATGAGATTCTCATTGCAAAAACGATGTTGTAACTATTCTGCAAATGAGGAAAAAAACTAATCATTCACCACTGAGTACAACAATGTATGACCGAATGTAGGCTGTACAGTAGGTGACTTTATAAGAAGCATAATTACTTGTGTTTACAACCTATTGTATACAGCTACGTACTGAAGGCCCTGTGCTATTTAAAATGAATATATACAATCTTATTTCCTCCATTTCCCAACAAAACATCAGAAACACAGTGCAGGGCATCACTCCCAGCTGTCAGGAGGAGCTGTAATGAAGTGCGCATTAAGAAAACTCTGTAACCTTGTGATCACCTTGCAAATATCAGGCCACTCGAGACCGTTTCCACACAACATCCAGCTGATATTGATTTAACTACATACTGATACTATAAAAAACACGATTTAATGTTTGTTATTGTAAAGTCTGGGTGTTTTTTAGCCGTTACAAGGCGACGCTTCCATGAGTCACACGAGGACACGGTGACCTGAGTACCGGTCGCTGTCTGCGCACTTTACCCGTTAACCGTCAAACGTAAGAGAAACAAATATGACTATACAGAAACACATTTCTTTATTCATGTATGTACTTGAAAACAACGCGGTTAGAGAGTCTGTAAAAGATAAAATAACGTTTTCTTACCCGCAGTCTGGTGACAGTCAAACAGTAAGACGCCATTTTGTTCACTGACAAAGATGTGTGTCGCCCTCATGTGACGTGACTGGCTTAGAGCCCAAGTAAGTGTACACATAAAAGGAACTTGCTTGGGTGTATACATGAATATGATAGGAAGATTGTCAAACAAGGGGCAAATATATAACATGTAAAATATTATAAATCAAATAAATAGAAATATACAAAAAAATAAGAGGAATAACACTATGAAAATTTATTCAGAAAATTTGCATTTATTTTATTTCATTTAATCGTTTATTTGGCAGGGACAATGCACAGTAATGAACACTTACATTTTAAGTGTTCGATCTGTTCATCTGTCATACTGATCATACAGTCAATAACTTTGTTGTTATTAGCATCTGGTTAGCTAGCAATGCTAACGAATATAAGAAGCTTTTTCTCCAACCAGTGAGGTAAAGGGACATCTTTATATGATCATAGTTATAAAAAAATAAGAGAATAAAGTAAACAGGTTTAAAATACTATATTACAGTAAAAAAAAGGGGGTCGCGACGCGGGCTGAAAAGTTTGGGAACCCCTGCCCTGGAGGATGTTAGATCCACCCCCTACTTAAATCATGTCCACAGGGATAGGAAACTAAATACATTTGCACACATCTTGTTTCCATATCTTTCTGTTTTGGTGGTCATGCCACACCGTGCACGTGAATGCATACGCGAGTCATGGTAAAATATTTGGAGGTTGCTTTTTCTTTGCACAGCATGAAAGAAAGGCGAAATTAATGGGCTGTGATTTTAGTATTTTTAAGCAGAGGTCAATGATTTGTACGGCCCTCGGAGGATATGGAAAAAATTGAAATGGCCCTTGAGAGGAAAAGGTTCCCCACCCCTGACTTAAAACATTCAAATGTGTCAAGCGTAACAGTGCCAGATTTAGCTTTGAGCTCATTTCCATCCGCAGTCCCTCACATAAAACATTTAAGAAGATTACATTTTACAAACATAGCAAAAACAAAATACATGATATGCAAAAAGTGCAAAAGAGCAAGAGCAGCATACACGAATATTTATGACATGGTAATACAATATAGCAGAAACGACATATAAAGTGCAAGAGAAGAAACAAGAGCTACAGAAAGTGCAAGAGGAGATACCCCTGTGTTAAAGTGCATTTAGCGGTGATTGCACAATATATATATTTGTACATCGAAATTTAAATTAGGAAATGGAATACATCTGTGCAATTAAAAAAAATGGGATTTATATTAAAGTATTGGTGACCTGATAACACTGAAAATATGCCAGGTTCTCACGTCAATACATAATTTATGTTTGGAATAATCCTTAAAAATGCACAAAAATGCAAAACTGTAATGGAAGATGTGGGACTACCTTAGTTTTTGGTTAAATGTCTTGCGTGACTTAAAAGTTGAAGACTATATGGATGGGAAAAAAATGCTTAAAAATACTTATAGGATTAACTGAAAATTATGGCTATCATACTGTATGTGTTCGTGTAGTTGGGAGATGTCTATAATTGAATTTAGCCTATATCATTAGAATATATTTCTTTATTGAATACAAAATCCATAATCACAGTACCTCTCATAGGCTACTGTAGATGACTGATAATCAAAATGTGGATTGATTTGAATGCATAACAAACCCGGAATCAATCAATCTCTAATGCATGTCTTTTTTTATTTAACACTATCAATACCACCACACACCATTTAGTGGCAATAACCACATTTCCCACAAGCCCCTGGTAAAAGTCAAGTTGATTTAGCTGCTGAGTGGATGCTGCAGCCCAATAATGTGAGGGTCCTCCCCCCTCTCAGCCAATAGGGACTCTGTTGCTATCACCGCTTATATTTTTAGCAAATTTCACAGCACCGTTAGAAACTACAAATATACCTCCGCCAATTTAACTAGTGCCTGCAAGGTAAACATGGACGAAACATGCCCTCAATTAGCGTTTTTTACATCGTTATTTTTTAAAAGAGGAGTATGAAATTAAATCTTATATATGGTGTAAAAAATGCAAGGTATGAAAATAGTTTTTGGTTTTATTGTTATTCCAAAAAAGGAGTCTGCTTGGTAATATTTATATAAATATTCTGCATAAATAAGAAATTAACTAAATGATTTACTGGCAGCATTACATATGCACAGATACCGTTGTATGGAATAATAATAATAAAGCACCAGCTACTATAATATGAAGAAAGTAGTCCCTGCCGTCACGGGCGTGTGGGCGAGTCACAGTGTATAAATACGCCGGGTTGTCAAACAGTAAAGTTTCACTGGAGCCTCCATGCAAACTGTCAGCTGAAGAAAAACTGGGAAACCCTTTGGACGTTGCAGAAATGGGGGCAGCAGATTAATAAACACAACGCTGGGGTGAGAACAATATCCAGTGGTCAGCATTTGCACCAAGGACTCGACACGTCCGCCTTGAAATCGAAGACAACACAGGGGAATTACAAGACAAACGCAGGAGTCAAGGTAGAGCATCAGTGACGATAGGTGAGTAATTGAATGTCAGCTGGTGCATGAAACTGCATTTAAATGTCCTTAAATTGCGTGCATGTTGCTGTGTTTGGCTTTGCAAAATGCGCTCATTGTAATGAATGACAGCACTGGTTCGGCCATTTAAATAGAGACCCAGCTTTTGTTTTTATCCTGGCCCGTTGTAAATTAGCTTAAGTGCTCCCTTCTTGAAGTATATGCAACTGCCATGTTTATTTTATACGTTGTTTGACTGTATATGCTGAGGAGGGACTGTCTTCCTTATTGCTCAGTGGGCACACACTCGCTCGATAGTCTGTTCTCCACTTATTTAGCCTTACAATTGAATTTACAGCGTTAATTTGGCATGGTGGGGGGGGATTCTTCACTTGCATGTCACCTAAACCAGTGTCCATTATTCTTCACTGCCTTTTGACATATGGCAGTAATGGCCTGGTAGACCCTGCTCCTTTTTTAGTATCTGAGTTTAGCATCACACACAGCTGATATCCCTCTCTCGCCCTCATCTTGCACATTTAGCATCTGGTAGTGCAAAAATATGCCCATTTAAAGGCATCTATTATTATCAATCTGTTTAGGGAGAACATTGTAAGCGAGGGGGATTCAATGAAAGAGAAAAACATCACTATTCATATCCAATTGAGGTTTCAGGTGTAACTTGGTTCAGGAAGGCCTCTATTTGCTGCTTTAAAAGCTCCATTGTAATATTTCTAAAGGCTTTTTGCTTTCATATATGTATTGTGTTTATTTAGCAAATTAGCTAGGGCTATTATAAGCTCACATGTGCTCAATAGATCAAAACAGGGGGCTTCGCAGCACACAGTGGCACATATGCAGCTCTGATAATGAGTCCATGTAAACAAAAATAGCTCTATAGATCCTGCTGCTGCTCTGACCTGCAACAACAGGCCTGCAAACATCACTGGAGCTCCTTAAGTTGTGTAACAGTGAAGAATACAAAGCCAGGGATTTGTGAGCGTGGAGGTTTTTATTAAAATTGCACGCTCTGGTTTAAGATTTAGACTTCTAAATACATTCTTAAAGCAGAACATCTGCACATACTAACATAGCTACTCCTCTTATGTCATTGGATGACATTGGATCTTGTACATCTTGCTTTGTTTATATAATACGAGATATGAAATGCAGTAGAAGCTGCTGGTAGCTTTAACTGTGTGTGTGTTTGGGTGTGTGTGTGTGTGTTTGTACTAAAGGTTTGTATTGCTGGTGGCTGTTGCAGGTGCTGGACCAGGGGATTTTCCTATCCTTTTTACAGTCACTTAAACTCATATTAAACCAAGGTGCAGGAGGGGAACAGATGCAAAATGGGGCCCTATTTATAGCCCATTCTAACCAACCCCCATTTTATCCTTCAATGTCACCTTTTTCATGCGATGGGGGGGAAATGTGAATCTTTAACAGTCACTCTGCATGCAGCTTTATCTGTGATAGCATTAGAATTGTCTTTTAATCGGAGGCGTCTTTCTAATCTTAGCTGCTGAATCCCCATCTGGCAGGGAAGTGAATGTGAGTGAATTGTTTGTGTGTGTAAGGGGGGGAGGGGGAGATCACACGCACTGCATGGTGGGAAATGGTGTTCTGTGAAGTCGACTTACTGTCCTGCCATTTTACACCTCCTTCTTTTCTGAGTATCGGTGGTGTTATTGCTTCTTTTTTTTGCCTGTAATCCTTCAGTGGTTTTGACTCAGCATGGCCTCCGTGTGACTGTGTTTAAGCATCAAAGCAGGATGCGTTCCTGGGATCAGATTCAGATTATAAAGGATTTATGAAGCCCACAACACAGCATCTGTTACATCCATCAGTAGATCCTGCAGCTGATGAAACCAACATATAGAATATAAAGCATGTCTGATGCTGTGTTTCACTGAAACTGTGGTGTTTTTCCACGCGTTAAGCATCTCACAAATGTATCATTTGGTTACTAAAGCCAATATGGTGTGTTTTCTGCACTGTTTCTCCAACCGCTCTGAATTTATGATGGCTTCAAATGCATTTGACCAAAAGTTATCTTTTTGAATCAATGTTTGCACTCTTTCAGTATAGAAATGTCTTAATCCACAGCTTATTAATCACTTCCGTTCCTCTCATGCATGCAGAAGTGCACGTTTCTTGCCTTTTTTTTCTTTTTATTCGAGTCAATGACCTATATGGAGGCATAAGTGTGCCAAATAATCATGTAAATCAATTAAGCGTCCATTAACTGATACATACCTTTTTTGTGTGACCAAAAGGGAATGATTAGCAGCATTTTTCTTTTGGTACAGTTGGTGTTTCTTTTTATTTCAGAATCTGTTTTCTTTTGCCAAAACAAACCAGGAATAAACTTATTTCCACATTAACTAGCACACACAGAAAAAAGACCACCCACACGAAAAAACAACAATGTCAGAAAAATGTAAATTACATCACTGCTAGATTAGATAATTAGCTACCAAAGACATACAATGACATGACGGCACTTAAAGGTGGGGTAGGTAAGTTTGAGAAACCGGCTCGAGATACACTTTTTGTTATATTCCATGGAATGCTCTTAACATCCCGATAGCAATGAATATCTGAAGTGCTTTGACAAAAAATACATTTAAAAAATGTCATCTGTGGAAGCCGTAATACTGTAAAAAGCACGACCAATCATCTGAGCCGGCCCGGCTAAAATAACTGGATGGCCTACCTGCCTGTCAGCCTTCCATCTGTGCACAAACTTATCTCGTGCCCTCATTGGTCATGTGCGCGTTCGTGTGTTTTGGAGGAGGGGCTCTGTAAGGAAGTCTGAAGGAAGGGGCAGATTCTTTCCGGCTGTGTATTTTCAAATTCTAGCGCACTCGAGCTGGTTTCTCCAAAATTACCTACCCCACCTTTAAAGNCCCCCCCCACCCCCCACGCTGACCCGGAGCAGCCATGCATCTCGAGGTGAAGGTCGCCCTGAACTTCATCGTGTCCTACCTCTACAACAAGCTGCCTCGGCGCCGCGCGGATCTGTTTGGCGAGGAGCTGGAGAGGATACTGATTTCTCGGTTCGAGGGTCACTGGTACCCCGAAGCCCCTCTCAGAGGCTCTGCCTTTCGCTGCATTCACCTGGGAGCCCCGAGGGACCCCGTGGTGGAGTTAGCCGCCAAGAGGAGCGGCCTGGACACGGAGGAAGTTCGTGCAAACGTTCCTGCAGAGCTCAGCGTGTGGATCGACCCGTACGAGGTTTCCTACCAGATCGGAGAGAAGGGGGCGGTGAAGGTCCTCTACCTGGAAGAGACTCCTGGACTCGGGTGTGACGGAGAGATGCCGGAGGGGCCCACCAGAGAGGGTAAACTCACTTATATACATTGTTTTCAGATGGTCCCTTGAGGATTTAAATGGAACTTAAAACTGTAATTATTCTGTAAAGTGTATATTGTATTAAATGTTTACATTTTGTGAGTTAGATGTTTATTTGTATATTTATATTGTGTTTTCAATATATATCCTTTATTATTGATCTGTATATAATCACGGTTTTGCGTATTTTGTTTATCTTCTACTGCTGATATGTATATCTTGTTTTTTATTTTATTTACTTCTATTTCACGTGCAATGGCTTATCTATGCTGCTGTGACGAAAACAATTCCTAAATTGGGATCATAAACATATCTTATTATTCTCTTAGCATCTACACAGCTTTCCATAACAATACTGCACATATTTTATTACTTTGCGATAGTATACTTTACGTAGTTTTTTGGTATATCCAGATTTAATGTCACTCTTAACTCAATATAGTTTAAAAATATATATTTTATTTTGTATCTTCTTTAACTGTGTTTATATGCACCATGTCCACCAAGGCACATTCCTCGTATGTGTAAACCTTGTCAATATTACCTCTTTCTGATTCCTTAAAGGAGACTCGGAGGCGGAGGAGGCCAAGAGTTTGGGGTTCAACCCGGACGCTCAGGTGTTCGTTCCGATCGGCAGCCAGGCGTCGCCCGCCCTCATGCCCTCTCTCTCCAGCTCCCCCACCCCGATGTCCACCGCCCTCTTCAGCTACCCGAGCTCCAGCACGCCCCCCGACCCCTCCGCCCACTCCTCCATCCCCACCGCCCGCCCCCAGCCCATCACCTTCACCACCGCCAGCTTCGCCGCCACCAAATTTGGCTCGACCAAGATGAAGAAGTGCAGCGGTGCCGGGTCAACAACTGGCGCCAATGGCTCCATCCTCCCCCCCGCTCAGAGGATGCTCACCCACTCCCCCACCGCCATCTTGGCTCCGGACCTGCTGAAGCACAAGCCTCTCTCTCTGTCCTTGCACTCCCTCGGAGGCGCTCCCATCGCCAGCCAGCTCTCCCCCAACGCCAAAGAGTTCGTGTACCCAGGATCGCCGGGCGCCCTTTACTTCGATGCTGACTCCCAGCCCATGCAGCCTCACGTCAGCCCGTTCCAGCCGCCACACTCCCATCCGACCTTTGACCCCTTCTCCAGCCCTCCTCCGCCCCCCAGCGTTGGCATCATCGGCAGCAGCGGGGGCATCCCCTACATGGAGAAGCCCCCGTTTGTGGAGGGTCTAGGAAGCTACAACCTGCAATACCCCAGCCAGTCCTTCCAGCCGGTGGTGCTGGCCAACTAAAGCCTTCATTTGTAACGAAAAAGAAATGTTCTCCCGAGGTGGGTCTGAAAAATGACGCTCCAGATATTTTCAGTTTTTTCTAACAAATTGTTCTGATACTAAAACGCGTTGAGAATTAGTTTTACTACGAGGATTTAAAAAGTACCACGTCCACTGAATAATGAAATGTAGTTTTTGTTACCTCCAATCCCGCCCTATCTTTTCATTCGTTGCTTTCGTCCGTTTGCTTTGATGACAGGAGTGGGTGGGGAGGGGTGGGTTCCTTTCTACGTTTGAGTCGTTGCCAATCGCTTTTATGTTTATTCCTTTGCATTAAATGTTAACGTTAAGGATTTGTTTTTGTTTTGTGGTTTAATGGACTCTAGTGTAGCTCCACTTTTGCACTGCACTGTCATGCTGTGAAAGAAGCTCCTCGCCAAGTCCTGCAGGGAACGACGGCTGTGGAAAGCTCAGCACTTTGCTCTGCAATCTGCTCTGCCCTACTTGCCACAAATACAGAGAAGGGGGGGGTGGGGGGTCTGCTGTGTGAGCGAGTGTGTGGCGCTGCTCTGTTTTGTTGTGGCTCAGCGTGATGGAGAGACCCATTGTTTGTACGATGGTGGGCCCTCTCCTCTAGTCGTTGTTGTCGCCAGTTTGTCGTCAGCTGGGATGTGTGTACATGACACGGGTTTAAATGAAGCGAGAGCAGTGGAGTGAGCAGAAAGGCAGCTTGGGGGAGTAAGGGAGCGATGTAGGGGAATGTATTGCATCTGTCAGGGGGGATACTGCAGCTAGGAAGGTCAGGGAAACCTTGGTGGAGAAACGGGTTTGCATTTTAAGACTTTAACCGCGCGTTGATGCCTCAATTAAACACACTGGGATGTAAATTGTGCTTTCATACGTGCACACACGCAGGCGGTCGTGTGTGAAGGAGAAGAGGGATGCAGCAGGCATTGTGATAAATGGCTTAGCATGACTTTGAGGGAGAGCTTTTCCTCTGCACGAAGAAGGAAGTGAAAGGGAGAGCAGCAGCTCGAGGCTTCTTTCGCCTCGGTGTTATCCAGGCTGTGGAGAGATTTAAAACCCAGAACACGTTTGTGGTGAGCTTAAATGGTATTGAAGCCAACCATTCTCTCCCTCCTCTTGAAATTCTCCTCTTCTCCTCTGGTTTCTGACAAAAGATTCATACAGATGAGTGATCCTCAATTGGTCTGCTGCTTTTATTGGTTAGATTTTAAGTCTGCTGCATGTCTCTAACAAAGGTTTGTTTACCAGCTGGGTCCATGTGATTGTTGGTGAGTCTCTGCAGGGAGGGGTGGCTCTCAGATGAGCAGCACTTTACTTCTGAGGCTGTGTGGCGCTACATCGTTCCTTTAGCCTCCATGAAATGCTTTAGAGATTCAAACAGTGCACATGCAAGATTGAGGAGATGCTGTTTATTTGAATGTTTCCAGAAACCTATTAATGAGGACCCTTGACTCTGGTTTTGCAACGTGACATCTTGTCATATGCATGGAAGATTTTATTTCTTTGTTTGTTTTTTTTCAAGGGGATGGGTGGGGAGGTCTGTAAATGTCATTATGATTGTGAGGGGAAAGATGCATTTATATCGTTTCTTTGTTTTGTAATTTATTTCTATATATTTTAGTTTTTTCTGCAAAAATGATCACTGACATTTGTACGAGTAAAGACATGACAAGTCCAGGAAATATGTATATATACAAAGTTCTTACGTTCAGATTTATTTGTTTAGTTTCTTACATGCCGAGGTTATTTTTTCAGAAAATAACGTGAATATATGCAAACCGAGACAAAAATAAAGATGTACAGAATAAAGTATTGAATGTGTATTGTACCTTGTACCTTTTTGGCATTTGTCTAATAAGACGGGTAAATGTATTCATTCTTCAAGTCGGATTTGAAGTTTAAGATGTGAATGTTTACAAAGGGTTTGTGTAGGAAAGATGGCTGATTTCACTTTTGTTCTGTGCTCCCAGGGCAGTCTCACAACACTACTCTCCATTGGCAGTGCATTTAAACCAAAAATTACACATTTCAGATTTTGTTTTTGTCCATTTCCCTTTTTTTTTCTATTGTCAATTCCCTACATATTTAGAGTTACCCTGCTTGTATTTTATCCTTCGAGCTAAAAGTACCATTCACTTTTCCCCACTTTATTTAAACACATTTTCACTACCCCCAAGTTACCCCACTTAGACAAACGATCCACATTTCGGAGTTATTCTTAAGTGAAATGTCCATTTACCCATTTATTTTGGTCAATCCCCTACATATTTATTACATTCCCTACTACAAGTTACTCTGCTTATCTTTTTTCCTCTGAAGAAATTGTTATATTTTCCCACTTTAGTTAATAATCACGTTCACTCTACTTCCCATAGAAATGTATTATTGAAACGAAACAATTTTACATTTCAGATATATTCAAGTCCTTCCCTCTTTTCCTTTTTTGTTGTTGTAAATTCAATACTTATTTAGGATCACAATAGATTTCCTACATTTTGTTTTACTCCCATCCGACACTCCTTGACTTCTTTTGTTTGCTACTAAAGCGCCTAACCAAGATAAATCAGATTTACTAGAACAAAACGCCCCCGTATATTTTATATCCCATCACATTTTACTTTGTCTCACTTCATCTTTTTCCCTTTCTCCCCAGGTCCTTTGGTCCTGGTACTATAGCCATATCCCAGACTGTCTTTGCTTACAGACGCTCGCCCTTCTCCAGTGCAATGTAATGCCATAGTTTAAATTACCCTGAAGGATTTAAGGGGTTTCTACCTCTCTGCACCCGGGAAAAAAAAATACAAAAATCAGTATATCGTCTCAATGAGAAGACAGTGTTACGGAAAGGATGAAGGAAATGAATGTGCTGTGAATGTGATCTGTTTATTAGGCTACACCCTGGTTGAGATGGCCTGCGGATAATAAATAAGGGAAACAGAATTGTTTTGTGTGTTTAAACGTGACAGTCACATGCATGTCCAAAATGACTCAGTGACTCTTTTTTTTTCATATTTGTGAGATTATTCTTAGCAAACGAGGTGTTGTTAAATTTCGTCTGTATACAAATCGGTCTCCTCTGAGGATGTGACGATGACTGTAAAAGAGTAAATGCTGGTTTGTGTTTTTTCACGCTTTTCTAAACACACTCCAAACGCAGGCCATTCAACAATCAGGGTTGAACGTTATTGAGGAGGAAAAACAAGAATTTTGTATTCTGATGTCCGTTTGCTTATATCGATGTGTGCGTTTTATTTTGCACTTTGGAATATTTCATTGTCATAAAAGAAGTTTATTTTCTATGTAAAAAATTTAACATTTAAGAGTACAAATAAATATAATTAAAAGTTCAGATGATGTATAAATATAGTGCTTTCTTTCCTGCCTGTATTTTATTATTTTTGTTCCTATTTTGTATCTGATCTGTACACCCTGTAGATGTAATGAATCTTTCACTACTGAAATGCAATGACCTGTTTTCTGTGCTGCCCCACCCCCGGGAATGGGGAGTTACTACTGCAGTTTCTTATTGTATCAGATTCTTTTTTAAGTTTGTAATAAAAACAGATTGGCAAAAAAACAAGCATGGAACATAAGATCATTGTGTCATCCTCATTGTTTGTGGTGGAGGAATAGTGTTGCATGACATACATGGATCATAGAGGCATCCCTCTTATTTCCAGTGGTGGAAGTACGTCTTGAGTGAAAGTAGCAATACTAAATTGTATAAATGTCAAAAAGTAATACCCCAAAAAGTTGTATGCTAATGTTTAGCCTCATATTTGTATTGTGTTTGTCTACTGTGACATGTTTCAATGCTTTAATGTTCAAAAAGCTCTTTATTTTTCTCATACTGCCTGTGCTGCAACACCTCTTTTCACCCTCTATCTGAAACCAGAGCCCAGTCTGCTCTGATTGGTTAGCTGGCCGGCTCCGTTGTGATTGGGCTACCGCTTAGAGATGTCCCGCCCCTTAGCCTATCACGTACAATGTGTTGGAGCGCTAGCTAATAGAAGTGCAAGTGTTACATAGTGATGTCACTATATTTTGCAAGTAAACAAAAGGAGTCCAATGGAGTCAGTTAACTTATAACGATATATCAATTTTAATTTATTAGTCTATTTATATTTTGAGGTATCTCTTAATGTGCATTTGTAAAGTAACTAAACCTGTAAAAATAAATAGTAGTGGATTAAAAAACTCAATATTGGCTTACAAAAATGTAGTGGAGTAGATGTATAAAATAGCATAAAAGGAAAATCCTTACTAAAAGTACCTGAAAAATGTACTATTTTAGTAAATATACTTCATTACATTCCACCACTGTTTTAATATTGAACATATTGCAGATCAAAGCTGATCCCCTGAGCTCCTGTGAGAAGCCTCAGTTTGAGCTTTGTGGCTGTAAACAAACTCAAGTGATGTTTGATCAATAATTCAAAGCAAAGCTGAAATTCTCAAATGGTGAGGATCCAGATTGCTCCCCGCCCACCTCAGCTGGACGCGTCCCAGCAGATATTACATTAAATGTCATCATGGAGCGCTCTCTGTGAACGCTCTATAGTAACATGCAGTGGTGTGACATTAACATGCATGGCTGGGCTCCTCCTTGGCTCTCCTCCACGTCTTGCTCGCCCACGCACTGCATCCCTCCCTCCCTCTGATCACATGTTTCTAGCTGCATCCCTGTTCTCCATCTTTCCATGTCCATCTTGTTTGCACCCCTCTCCAATTCTCCCTCCCTCTCCATCCTTTCCAAACACCTGATCCTTTCCTCCCTTTTGTCCCCCACCCCTGCCTAATTCCCAGAATCCCTCCCTTTTGGTTTTCTTTCCTCCTCACACACACTCACACACACCCCCATCCTGCTGGTCTTTGAAGCTGCTGTTACGCAACGCTGCTCCCCAGTGTGTCTATGTGATCATTACGCAACATCTCCTACTCCTCTGGAATACTGATGAGCAGCAGGACCAATGGAGGGGCTGTAAAATAAACAACTGGTCGAAGGGAAATCATGGGGGATTGTCTATTTGAACATATGCATCAAGGTTAGGTTAAAAAACTAGGAGAAAACGTCTTTATTCGTGCACCAAACTGCTGCTTTCTTTTGTCTCTTCGTCTCTCGGCACTGCTACATCTGCCGCAGCTGGCTGATGACTCAGGCAAGGTCAAGCAAAAGAGCCAACGAGTCATGAAATCTCAATTTATTTTCAATTGCATGATACAAGATACAGTTAGGATATAGTACTGCATCCTATACATGGTTAGGACAATACAAAAACACTTAACAAAAATTATGTTTTTTATTAAAAAAAAGGGGGGAAATAAACCACAGCTTAGAAATAAATGGACTTTTAAATATTCTTCCAGGTGTTTTAAAGCTACTTTGAATAGCAAACAAAGTCATTATTATGATGCAGCAACCGTTTTAGGCTAGAAAACAGCTCATTTGTGCCAACTACAGGCCAAAACAACAACAATGTACACCTGTGCTACCTGCAGGTAAAGTATTACAGCTGCAATTATTATAAGCTTTTTGTATGAGACACTTGTTACACAGCAAATATAGATGTCAGTAAACACTTTCATTCTCTAATTCCTAATATTCAAATGCTGATTTTAAGCATGTTCTGGATGATGTTGCTGTGAAACAAATGTGTTCTTTTTTTTTAATTAACTGGCGATAATAGAGTTTATATTTCAAACCTCCGAAACAAAGTAAATGGGTCCTTTTAAGGAAAAACACGCTGTTGTAAAACTTTTTTCCTAAATTAGTGCTCAGGTAAAGACGCCAGTAGCCTACTGTTTTTGTCTGTAGGAGGCGACCGAGCTGCTGATCTTAACTGCTGCTGCTTTCTTCATTACCTATTGGTTTTACCGCCAGCTAAATTAAAATGTGCAGGCTTGAGAGTTACTAGCATCAAGAAACGTTGCAACATACTGTATCCAGTATTTAAAGAATACATATTTGTGTCTTCTAAAATAATCTCTTGGCCGGTACCCAGTGGCGGACTGGGTACGGATGGGCCGATACCGAAGTGGGCCGGTCGGATAAGTCAGTCACTAGCACCCCACGTTGTCAATTTACTCGCGGTATATAGGCTACTAGCGGTACCGAAGTGGGCCGGTCGAGAGTCCCTGGCGGATTTTTAGTCCCAGTCCGCCCCTGCCTGTACCTATAAAGTTGTGCAGCAATGTGGCCTTATACCAGGACATTTGACTACATCTGGTTCCCTCGTCTCCAAGACAATGGTTTTATAAATGTGTTTTTGCCTGAAATAAGATCTTTAACACAAGATAAAAAGATTTTCAAATGTTTTCGTCACTAAATACATCACTGCTGATTGAATGTCTGAAGCTTCTATGTGTCATAAAAACAACGGTTGCTAACATTCAAGTGACTAAATCCGAATACTAAACATCACACCGAACATTAGCCGCCTTTAGCTTAGCAGTGGTGACGGGAAGTTCCTTATTATTTTAACTTCTGGTGATTGCATTTATTCCTAAAAAAATGGTATTAATATGTGGAGATTTTCCTGCTAAACCAAACGTCTTAATCATAAAAATGTGATTGCCATAGATCTTATTTTCTGAAATCCTATGAAAAGATCCCATTGGCTTTTTGTCGAGGGAGCCCTTGCGATGGGTCAGCCTACAAATATACGTCATCACTGCGCCGCTCTTTAATCAGACTGGCTGCTGTTGTAGAATATTTTAATTAAAAACACAACTAAACGGTTGCATTCATCATCTACATTGATGTATACAATTCAGTCAAAGCAACATAAACACGTTGCTAAGAAATGTCACAAAATCATCAGGAAACAAGAACACACAAAATCAAAAGCAGACCCAGTGTATCTAGATATAGATCAATGTTTAGTTAATAGAAAACAATCCACACAGTGATCAAAAGGTGTTTTCTGCTGATGTTCGCCCCAAGGTCTAGCACTGCTGCACGAGGATAGGTGGCGCTATGCAAGTCGTAAACACAGGAGATCATAGCAAACTTCTGACAGAACTGTACAATAGACCATCAACGTATACCCATCCAAAAACATATGGAGTTTTCAGTGATGGTTTACAGACATAAGTACACTTTGTGTGAAATATTCAGCGGAATAACAAAGACAGGTCACTGGGTTTCATGCATTAGGATCCTGGACTACAGAGGATCTAAACTGGAAGCACAAATGACTTTGGGGCATATCTATTCAGTACATCATAATACGTTTACATACATCACAGAAATAAAACGAGCATTACATAACAGAGTATTATTGCCACTTTTTTTTTTCTTTCCAAGATTATTATGGCGATTATGAGCACAAGCCAAACCGAGCACGAAATGTGCATCAGCCAAAGACATTTGAGCTATCGAGTCCCATAACAGTCTGAAATCTATTCAATAATTTAGAAATTCAGCAACCCAACGCATCCACTCGGAGTTCTGCCAAATGAAATAAGCTGCTTTATGTGCTTTCTGCTTCCAACCCTGCTAAACGTTATATCGTTTAAAATAGGAAGTGTTGGATGAGGTAAATAAGAGTGTCTTTTCTCTGTGATCAGACACGCTGAATGTATATATATATATAGAAACAAAACAAAACCAATAAAACTATATATAAATCTGTTTAAACATCCAAAAGCACAGTTTACCCTTTGATTTCCCTGCAATGGTTTCATTATAGAAGTATTGTTCCTCAAAGGAAATGATCTGACATGTTATACATCAAAATCAACAGATGCATTATTACCATCAGAATAAATACAGCACTCATTTGGCAAATATAGGAATAATATCAAGCTTATAGAGACAGGATCTCAGTAAATAAAGAACCATATTTACAAAGGTTTGTTTTCGAAACAGTCGACTTTGGGCTTGGTTAAATCTTTAAAAAAATAAAATCCAGCTGTCACTACATTAGACCAGACAGGCGGAGGCTCTAGCGCCCTCTACCTGCAGTGTGCAGTAAAATAAACTCTCCTACGCATGAGCATACCCCCCCACTGGTGAGGGCCCATCAGACCTATGCCTTTAACCTACAAGAAATACATCTCTCTTTCTATAATCAAAGGAAACCTGTTTTATCCTGTGAGGTCTCTGGAAGCTGATCTGAGGTCAGTAGAAAAAGGAAACCACATCACAGTAGCTTTAAATTGTAGGGCATGCATGTTTTTCCCCCGAATAAAAAATCTATGTGTCTCCCATGGTGTTATACGGTAGATTTAAACCATAGACTTAAACACTGTGGCCCGGGGACACGACTACACACACAAAGAGATTGTGAGTGACTGTGAGTGAATTACTCATGTTCTCCTCCTTTCTGCTTCCTCCCTCTGGAAGTACCTGATTCTTTCTCCTGCTCCTTCGTCATCTGCTCCTATCGTCTTAGCTGGAGTGTTTAAATGGAAGTACAGACACGACACAAACACGAGTGCAACACGAGGAAACTTGAGGGGCGGCAAAGTGTGCACCACACTGAACACAGGACTTCTACACTGACATGCTTTGGTCCACTAAGAAGAATAAGTGCTGTGCAGTTGTAAAAATAACGGATTTGTGATTCATTTGTACCGCTTTGCTCTGATTTCCTGACTGTGTGTTTGACCACGGGAGTGTCCTCAATCTTCCTCTCTGAGTGTGTAGGAGCCAGGCGCTCTTCCACAGGCCCTCCTGCGGCCCCCGCTCCATCACGAAGCCTCGCCGCCTGCCAGTGTGTGTCCGAAACTCCGGACCTCGCGTCGGGAAAACACACCCGGAGCTCGACACATGGACATGGAGGTCGGCGAAGATGCAAATTTAGATTCCCTTGGTGGTTGGTGTCCGTGTTGAATTCTGCGGGGAAGGGAGTTCTGCTTTTTGTCTCATTGATACGTCATGTTTTTGGTGTTAATGAGTTGTTTACAGCGGGCCGTACTTGGCCTCGTATCGGGTCAGGACGGTCTTGCATCGTCCGCAGTCTTTCCGCAGCTCGGACACTTGCTGCCGCAGCGCCGCGTTCTCCCGCTCCAGGAAGGAGGCGCGCACCGTGATCTGGTTCTCCTTCAGCCGCCGCGCGTCACGGGAACGCTTCGCCGCTACGTTGTTCTTCTTCCTCCTGGACCAGTATCTGTCATCCTGCGGGGAAACGAGAGAGAACGTGAGCAGTAGAGTTTATATTAGCAAAGGGATTTGAAACAAACGAACATCTGTGTTGTGAAAACATCCCCCCCTTTCTTTGATCCCTAATCCACCGCTCTGTTTGCAAACGCTTTAATCTTCACCAGGACGAGACCACCGAGACCCACTGAGTCAAACTTAGCTGTCCTTTTTGGTGTAAAAGATTATGTCACCATGGTGCTTCTAAGTATGTGTATGGTGATATGTATAATCAATCAATGTGTTACTCATGTGAAATGCAATGTTTACATGCTGCTCTAACACAACTATTTCCAAAATTGGGATCATTAACCAACATTTCAACAAAATTGATCTTAAATTAAAAAAAAAAAATTATGTCAACATGTTGTTTTTAAAATGGTGTTATTATTATTATTATTAGAAATAAGGTGTGTGATTAGTTTTTGGAATAAAAATACAAATTGTGCAGCCACTATTATTTACATTATTGCTTTTAAATGTAATTTTAAAAAATGTGAGTACTTTGTTTATTCAGTATTGTTACTCAATAGATATATATGTTTTTACTAGATCGAATTTTTGTTAAATGCATTGTTTACATGCTGCTGTAACAAAAACAATTTCCCAAATTTGGATCAATAAAGTAAAACGGATCTAAAATGATTATTTCTAGGTCTCACAGTCGTCAGCTTTGGTATGAATAAACGTGTTTTCTTTATATAAATACGCCTACCTTCTGCTCGTTGGGAACAAACACTTTCTTGGCCTTCTTGATCATGGGCTGGGGCTTCAGCTCCTCTTCTGAGAACTTGTGTTTGCGCGGGTTGAACAGTTCCCCCCCCGGCACGCTGGACAGAACCAGATCCGTGGGGTCCGGCTGGAAGTTAATGTCCACCTCGATGGCCTCGGGGTCCACGGGGGAGGGGGTGCTGCGCTCTGCAGGGTATCGAGATACAAAGTTAGCTTGGATATAAAAGAGGACACTCCAATAAAGCAAAATACTACATATATGGCAAATCAGGGGTTACCGGTCCGACCCCACCCCCTGCATACATGTCAAAGTGTGTCCTTGGGGAGCATCCATTGTTTCCATAGGTCTAAGGTAATGCAGTGTAAGCCTCAGCCAGACATCATGGAATAATACTGTAGGTGCCATAACGCTACTTAGCCCAAGTTCATTATTTGTATTATTATTATTATTTGTTTACGTCACTTTTATTTGTTTGTTAAGCACTTCCGGTAATTGTCACATGGGTGTGGTTTGGTTATATAAGTCACCTGTTTGATGTCAAGTGCGGATGACAGGGGGTTAGCTTGTGCAGTCATTTTTTCTGTTGATCTATTGTTGTGTTTAAGCATTGACACGTGTGTATAATCTTCCTTCTCCCTTGTTAAGTTTTTAAGTGAGGTGAATAAATAGAGGAACCTGTATAGTGAATGGAGTGAAGTAAAAAGCACCATATTCACTTCTAAAATGTTGTGTAGTATCAAGTAACATAAAAAGATGATAGAACAAGTACCGTAAAATTGTGTAAACGTATTTCACTGCTTCCAACACTAGATGTTTATGTAGTCAATGTGACTTGTCAAGTATTCTCAAGAGAACCCACCAACAATATTCTGGGTAGTGAAAGTCAAAAAAAGTGAGCTTTGTTGAAGGTAGAAGACAAACTTTGTAATCTTTTTCCAGGGACAATGCAATGGCTGCTCACTCTGTGTCTTTTGCTCATAGATTGTTCAACAGGGAATGTGTTTCTTTCTCAATATAGCACCGTAAATGTCTGCTTTTAGTTGCAGGTTCCTACACGACAACAGTGATGTGCAATAGACCGCACGCTGGCCATGAGACAAACACAATAAGAGCTATAGCATGAGCTCAAAGGTCAGTGACCTCATGTGTAATGTTAGTTTATGTTATCCCAGCATCTACGAGACAAGAGCAAATAAAAGGAGACACTACAGCACCTATACAAAGACACCTAAACAACTACATAGAGCTGAAACAAATGGCATTCTTGCTGTTATTCACAGAACTTAAAGAAGATATAATGCTTTGTCTGAGGTTTCTATTTTAATGTAGTGTCTCTACTGGGACATGTCTGCATGCTCTAATGTTCAAAAACTCTTTATTTCTCTCATACTGCCTGTGCGTCTTTTCACCCTCTGTCTGAAACCAGAGCCCAGTCTGCTCTGATTGGTTAGCTGGCCGGCTCTGTTGGGATGGTCAACAGCTTAGAGATCCCTCCTCCTCAGCCTATCACGTACAATGTGTTGGAGCGCTAGCCAATAGGAGCGCCAGTGTTACAAAGTGATGTCCCTTTGTTCAGGAAGTAAACAAAGGAGTCCAATGGAGGCGTTTCAGGTAAACAAGTCATCACAACATAAAATATAACGTGTTAAAAATGTCTATTTGAAAGGCTGAAAGGTGTCTAAGTGGCTAAAGGAAGCAAAGGAAGTGTATATCCAAAAATAAAATACAACATCTCTATTTCTCACCTGTTTTTTTCTCTTTCACTTCCACTTTGACTTCCTGACACAACGTCTCCTCCTCTGGTCCTTCCTCTTCCCCTTCCTCCTCCTCCTCCTCCTCCTCATCCTCCTCCTCTTCCTCTTCTTCTTCTTCCTCTTCTTCTTCTTCTTCTTCTATCTTTGCCGGTAGTAGCGTAGTGACCGTCACCGGCTCCTCTGGCTCTGAGGTGACGGTGGAGGTGGCGGAGGCCGAGGGGGAAGACGCCGAGGCGGGGACGGGGGCGACGGCAGGAGTCGTGGTCGTAGTAGAAGAAGCTGTAGGAGTAACCTTGGGGAGGAATTTGGCTTTGATTCCCACGGAGGCTAAAGTCTTCTGCAGCTCCTCCTCCTCCAGGGTCGCAGGGATCCCGTTCTCCAGGAGGAACTCGTCCAGGTCCATGTACTCCAGGTGGAAGGTCTCCCCATCGTAGGGAATGGTCTTGTCCCAAATGGCAGGGGTTAAGGAGGCTGAAACACCTCCACCAGCACCTGCAACAACAACAACGCTTCCTTCTCCTCCTCTTCCTTCTCCTCCTCTTCCTCTTCCTCCTCCTCCTCCTCCAGCACTGGCTGCTCCTGCCCCACCTCCATCCACATCCTCAAGGGAGCACAGCTTCTCCTTCTCTATTTCTGCAATAACACAAGAGGATAATAATTAAATGGCTGCGTGAAAGGGTTCTTTGTGCGCACAATGACATTTTTTCACTTTATAATGAATACCAATACTGGCTGCTATCCTTCAGTTGAACAATTCAATAATACATCTGTAAATAACTCATATAATTGCAATACTATCATATGGTTGTAGGGCTGCTCAATTAATTGTATTTTAATCGCAATTACGATTATGGCTAGCAACGATTACGAAAACAACGTAATCAAAATAAAACGATTATTTTTTTATTATTATTACTTTTTTTTTTCAACTGTTTAAAAAAAAACAACTCAAATAAATGGGTGTTTTCAAATTAAATGGATAATCGTTTTTAATAATCGTGATATCAATTATTGACCCAAATAATCGAGATTATGATTTTTGTCATAATCGAGCAGCCCTGGCTGATATCACACTACCGTATAATTGCTACACTTGAAATAGTGTTACTGGAAGTGGATGTGTATTTTGAAATTTGTGTAATTACAACTGTTTTGTTGTTGATATTTTATGCATGCCTCTTAATTATTATTTTTGATATGTGTAGCTCTTTATTTTTGCTGTTGCAATGTAAATGTCCCCTCTGCTGGACGAATAAAGGTATTCGGTTTGTGATTTGGAGAGGATCAGACAGAGAAGTCCTTTGCATATGGTGGAAAAAAAGGGGGTGTGGTGGCAGTGTCTGAGAAAAATTGGCTTCATCAAAGACTGTGAATGAGTTTGAAAGTGAAATCCTAGACTAAACACTAAACACTTAACGAGGCTTTGAGGAAACCAGCATTAGACGAGGAAAGCCAAAGGAAACAAACAATGAGCACCGCTTTCCCCACACATGCACCGCCTCACACAAAACACCACCACACACACTGCTGACCCAATTACACATCAGACCAAAATGTCTAATCAAAAAGCCAACATCTCCCTTTTCTCCATGGTTTCTTCACAGTGTGTGTGCGATGCTTGCAGGGCTTTAGAAAGGAGTTAGAACTTTTTGTTCTTTTTTGGATACAACTGACACCGTGCAACATATAGGCTACACAACAGTATGCAATGAGAATCCTAATGTAGCCTGATTAGTTCACCCTAATGCAAATAAACAGCCCTTTGCATGGATTTGTGCACATACAGTTAGGTTAATAGGGTCAAATCCGTAGACATAAACAAAAGGAGCGCTCGTTTTTGTTTCTTGTTGCATTTCGATCTTACCGTCCTCGCCTTCCTCCAGGATGTTAGGGGGAGGAATGTCCATGATCTTCTTTAAAACAAAAGGGAATGATTTCTGCGGAGCCTCTGGAGCCTTGTTGCCCCCAGGCTTCAGCACAACTGTCATCGCAGCTTTGCCAGACATTGTTCCCTGACAGGGGGCGACGTTCCTGAACGGACCGAGGGGTGCCTCCACCAGGCGGGGTGCGAAAAACGCAACAAAAATATCCGCTATGATCCACCACTAAGTGCTGCTTTCAGGCCTGTTTGTCAATATAAAAGGATTTAAGAATGCAAAAACAAACACTACACAAGCCCCTTGTTCTCTGTGCCCACCGAGCGCACTCATTGGATATTCATTAGCTGCAAGCCCCTCGCACTCGAGCAATAGTAGAAGCCGATTGGTTCGCAGTGCTGCCCATATTAATGTGTATTACAGTGTATTGCATTGTTGCTCTTCTAGAAAGACATTGCGGCTGAAACATATTTCCTCAGTTCAACAATTGTGCCACAGAGCTGGCTTCAATTCAAAGGAATATCAATAAACGTTATTCATAAAGTGTCAATCAAAGCTGGAGTATTTTTGATAGAAAACATTTTGTAATTTCAAAGTATTTGACTTATTTATGTTGCTTGAATAGAACCGTACTCTGTTGTTAATGATTGTTTTTTTGTCTATATACATTTTATTTGTATTGTATCTATACTGTATTTGCACCATGCAATGTTATTGATTGAAAGTAAGTGGCTCAAAGGCTAAGGCTTCCAAATGACTCGATTAATAGGCTATAGTTTAAAAAACGTCTTTGTTGTCTGTAGCGTGGTTGTACATCAGAAAATCCTCGACATGGAAATTAATATATATATAAAACATATGCAGCCATCATTAAGATCTTTAAATTAGACTCTGCGCATTCAAGCTGCAGAAAAGCAGCCTCCAGCGGAAGCAAACTACATCTCCCATGAGCACACTTGTCTCATGACAACACGTTAAATGGCACATATGCACTCGTTCACCCTTGATACACCCTAATCAAAACAACGAAGTCTTTTTGTCACTCGCACATCCTCCAAAAGGAGATACTCGTTGCAGAACACGTGCCCCCGCCCCTCGTGCTCACTTGAATGTACAATCTGTCAGGGGGGCGTGGCTTCCGATATTTGGCACATGCTGGCACAAACTGGAACAGGCAGGGCATCCAGAGGTAACCGAGTTCTTCTGCCTAAAAAATACCTCCTGTAACCACCAAGTGTCTCATTTTCTAAGAAAAATATCATATTTCGACCAAATGTTTCCAAAATGATAAATAACATTCAATTGAATACATGTGTCAATCCACATTGTTATTGCCATTATTATGCGATTAAATCTTGCATCAAAAGCTCCCAGTGCAACAACAAAATATGACATGTACGTGCACATCCCTCGCAGCAGGATGTTTGGCTTCAGGAACACCATGTTCTTTTATGTTTGTTTCTTCTACAGATTCGCCAGAGTCACCACCACCCTGGTAAACAAAGTGTCCTCTGTTTGATGAGAGGGACCTGCTGCAGCAGTTTAAACACAGAGGGGACAGAAGATCCCACTGTGTTTTGTCAACACTCCTCTCAATCTTGTTAAACTCCATGCAAATGTTTGCTGGGGGCAAATATCCTTTGATTTGATAATTTAAGAGCGGAGGAATAGGGAATATAGAAAGTGATTGCAAACATTGTCTTTTGAGTCAACCATGTTACATGTAAGGCTGTTTACAACCTAATGCTGTTAGACCCTTTGACACACTAGGTCATGATTTTAGAAATACTGAGTCATAAGTGGCGTGCGAGTTCCCAAGGCCGTACCACACACACACACACACACACACACACACACACACACACACACACACACACACACACACACACACACACACACACACACACACACACACACACACACACACACACACACACACACACACACTTTTGCATCCATTAGCATTGTCCCCTCCTCTCCAGTCTCCATCCATCCTTTTTTTTAGCTCCTGTGTCCTCCCTCCCTCCCTCCCTCCC